ATGACGTGACCACGGTTGCATAACTGTTGTTGTCTCTATATTAATTTGCTCAATTCTGTTAAAAAAGATGCTGCTAGAAGACTAAAGCGTCAGTATGAAACAAGCCGTTAATTTAAAATTTTAGTGTTTTTATGCTGCGAATAGATCAGAAGAGCAAAATGCCATGTTTAAACCAGTTTTTGTATGTTTTACCACATTTTGTCAGCAATCAGCTTGCTTATAAGGAGCCCTCGATTGAGGAAATCATCAAAAATCCCATGATAGCTGCTTCTGGTATTCATACCATTCGAGTTACTTCTCAAGTATCTCTGCCTCTCATGGAAAACGAATATAAAGAGGGCTTGACTTTAATCAAATTCTGCAGCGTGAGCCTGCACCAGTAGAAACACATTTGCATTTGAAGTTGATTAAGTGATTCTCAAGCTTTGTGTAATGAAATGTAGCCCAGGTAAAGACGTAGCCGCTTACCGGTGCGATAATGCGTTTTTGTATGATTCCGTTTTGTAGAGCGATCACCAGTATTTACTGAGGTATAACTGCGATGCTGCAGTTTGATTATTTGATGCGCCTGTGTACAGGGTCCGTGCTTAGACAGAAGCTCATCTTAAACGTGATGACCCGCACATGTATAGCAAACATCCTTAGAAGTTGAGCTTCCTGCTCAGTCTGGTTACCGAGATATTTAGGAGCCGACAGTGCTCAGAACCAAACATTCACGTCAGGAGCACGCAAGACCGCGACTTGCTTTAAAGATCAAATTTGAGATATTTCGGTCGCACACTAGCATAGAATATTTTCATGAAGTTTCAGCTTCCTAGTGTGCTTGAATGGCGAAAAGCTTTTTGTTACGTGAAATCATTGACATATCCGATCTCGCAATACAGGCGTATGCCAAAGCTCGTTTTATGCCTGTGCCCGTATATGAAAAACATATATTCTTGTAAAGTTGGGCACTCTAATTAGCTAAGCTCCTGAATTGGCATTTTGTCAGCGATTGTGAAATTTCGACTTTGATGTGCCCGTACACGAGACATATGCGCACACTGAAGATGGATTGAAATTTTTAGTTTGTATGAAGTCATAGAACATCCGTGTAAAATTTCAGCTTTATATCTTTTTTGTTCCCCAAAATCGCTTTCCCGCCAAAAAATTTACACATTTTCTCTCAGGTATCTATACATGAGAACCAAGCTTACGCGAACGAAAATATTAAAACGGGAAGGCCGCACATGGGGTGGGGGAAATTCCAACTTTCTAGCTTGTCTGGTTCTCGAGTTGAAGGTGGGTGACAAAATGCGAATTCACTATCACCCAACATTTACACACACAAAGAGCTCTTACCGCTATGCGTTTTTGCACTTGCGCATATACGCTAAAACATGAAAATATTGCTGTGTATAAGACTAAAAGTGTACAGACGGCTTTGATGCTGGAAAACGGTTATTTCACTACACGTAATATTTGCATTTTAGGCTCCGATGCCGATGCCAGTTTATGTAGCGCCCGTAATCAATGACTGTTGCTGCATGTGCGCTACACCATGCCTATATTCACGGATGAAAATGCATGGAGCCCGGTTGTTCTTTCCGACACATGATGCCAGATTGGATCGTGATCCAAAATGTAACAACGTGGCTCTGAAGGAAATTATGGAGGAAGTAACGTTAAAATTCTATGTTTACCTTATAGGCCGGCGTTTGACCAGAACCTGATTTTATTCACTTTGTATACAGATATATAACCTTTCGAAAAGCGACCACTGCTTGAGACAGGGGGAGGTGTATTTTGCGTATTTGTTCGGGTTACAAAAACAATCAAACAGCGATAAGGAACTGTGTGCAGGATACGATTGCGACCATACGAGAAAGTAAAATTTAATGGGTATAGCATGATGCTGCCGAAAAACATGGACAAAGTGTTTCAGTGAGCGGTACCTGAGAATAAGTAAGTAACTGCTTTGGCGGTCCCTGAACAGGTAGCACATGTGCATCGAACAAGCAGTAGATACTGACTGAAGATATGGAGCCCCGGACTGGGGGGCTTGGCACAGCACATGCATGCAGTATTAACCGAAACGTGCAGTACATCGCAGCATATACTTACATCAATATTAATTGAAGATTCATAACTAAGAATTGAAATGCCTGGCATTGCGGGTCAGTCGATGTCTGAAAGCATCCCAGTAACATCACTGAACAAGTTGGCAGATGCAGCATGTCTGAATGTATTTGGATGAACAAAATCATAGCAAGGATGACTAACAAAATGATGATCCAAATGATGGCAAGCGATTGACTCGAACTGGAGCTGTAAGGAACAGTATTCTGCTCAGTGCTACGTCTTTATATCGTCGAAGGTTTCAAGCATCTCGGAACACGCCTTAAGAATATTACTTGTTAATTTGCAGAACATGGTGGACGATCCAACGATCACAAAACGCGCTATTCAGAGGGCAGCTGAAGAGAAGCTTGCAAAAAAGTTCAACGTTATATGCTCGAAACAAGATTTCTCTTACGTGGCATACACAGACAATTTTTGTCAGCTCTCCAATCAAGACATCACTTGTTACGCGTTTAGACCTCTTCCCGAGCTGTAATTTTTTCTGATTTCTAGCACATATGCACAGTTGGGCGTTTTTGTACCGTACAGCTAGACTGGTCAAGTCAGAACTGTTAATTCATCATTGGTTTACAGATTTTGAGACAAAATACAAGTCTCAGAGAGGTGGTGGTTGATAAACGATGTGCATGGCCAGCGAGGTAAGGAAGGACAGGGTGATAACTGAGAGCTATACGGTAACCATTAGCGATGCGCACCATGGGACCTGCAAAGACATGCGTTTTCGACATTGATTTCCCTGCACTGTTACCCGTCCCATTTTCGAACTATCGCATGCGCAATCACCACTACTGGATTCCAGCTTGCTTTTGCTGAACCGTTTTATGCTGTTTTATGAACCACATTGTAATAATTGGAACAAAAGAAAATAAAAGTTCACGCTGCGTTTTTAGACCTATAAGTGAAGCGAACTTTACTACTCCTGCACATTCAGTTGCTTAGCTCAGCCGATTGAGAATTCTGAGAAAAACAATCACATATACGAACAACACAGGCCAAGAGACTATGTTTTTGCAGTTGCAGTATGAATGGAGAGCAGCGCAAAACACGGCAGGCGACGCGAACTCGCGTTTCGCGCAGCTCTGTCCTGCGAACGATTACCGTGAACAGTATTATACAGTTTGGTATATACAAAAATTGTTGAATTGTTGTTCTGTTCTCGAGCCAGAAAACTTCCATCCCAAAAACATGACCTGTCCGTGCGTAAAGGCTGAATTTGAATTTTAATTTGAATTTTCCGAATCGCAGTGGACAGGGAGCATCCTCGCAAAAATTCAGCTTTTTCTCTTCTTTGTTCCTCGAGTTAGAAAACCTTCGACTAAAATTTCACGTGTCTATACAGGAGAACAAAGTTAAAAAAGCTGAATTTATATTTGTGAGGCCGTGTGCACCGCAGGAAATGTCCTGATTTAGCTTCCTCACTTTCTCGATAATAGCTGCCCAACTTTTTATAGATGGTTTTTCCAGGGGTATTTTTTCCCAGTTGGCAAATCCAAGAGATAAATCAGCGGCTCGTTCTCCTACTTACAAGGATATGGGACGCGTACGTGGTGAAAATAATGAGTACTGAAAAAATGCAAAATTGATAAGCACGTAGAACGACGACCAGAATAAACGAATGGTGTGCAGGGATTAAGCTACAAACTTTTGAAATTCGTAGTTTGCTCTGTTCTGGGCTCAAAACATCAGCTAAGCGCTGAAAAACCAGACCGCAGGTAATAAATAAATTTGTCATCCCGCACCTTCCGCCCCCTCCTTCCCTTCTCACAAAAAAAAGAGGCTGTGGACTGAAAAAAGCCCACTTCCAGCAGCCGATTAAAAAACAATTCCCAGCCCAGAAAAAGTCGGAAGATTGATGGAGAGAGAGAGAGAGGCTGCGATGTCAGTTGTGAATGGTACTGCTCGACGCGGGCAGATCGTCGGAAGTCAGCAGCACTGAGTTTGGTGCTTACGCTCCATCCAGGTTCCGCTAAAATGTGGCGGTAGCTCTGGCCGATGGGATGTGATCCGGAGGCACTACCGTGTCATCGCAACCCTCCTGCTGGACAGTACTTCGTTATGATGCACCACAGGTGACAGTCCCGCCTCCATTCCTCCTCAAAGCTCTCTCTATCATCGAACTGACAGTGGCGCCATTCGATCCGCTGATATGTGTAAGCATGCTTGCATGCACCTGTACACATATGCTGTGTTATGTGTCCGTGTGGACCTCTCCGCGGTTATGTATGTGTCCGTATGCATGTGGTGTGTGTGTGTGTTTGCGTATGTGCACGCATGTATGTGTGTGCACACACGCACACACATACGCAAACATACACACATATAAACGCATGCAGACAAAATCAGCATTGTAAGCAGTGGTCAAAACGTTCATCTTTTCTGTTTTATAAAATGGTGCCAAAGTGGTAATATGCAATAACCATTAATAGCCCTGCTGCAATGTCCGGATGGGGATGGCCACGTGCTCTGCCCCCCTCGCCCTCAGCCTTCCTGGGTCTCCCATTATTCCATTCATTATTATCCCTCCCGCTCTCAGTTTTCATACTGATGTTCATTTACAACACGTTTATGCACTGTACATACGAAGACACGCGCTACGTCACCGGTTGATATACATTCGCTTAGATATACTTATTTCACTTTGATACTTCGATCAGCTGCCATTCATGAACGTACTTTTTCATTTGACTTGACCGGTGCTAGATCGCTTGCGGTCAGCCTGCTAGCCGTCCTGGCATTTGTTGCATCGCCCAATGAGATTACCCAGTACAGCAATTCTCTTCACAGCAGACACACTTTGTCAAGGCTTCCCTGGTCTTCGAGATATCATTATTGTTGTGCATCACCAATTCATGTCGAGCACTGCTACACATAGACCGCGATTAGGCATCTCGCAGACTAGAATACTCCATTCATATACATAATTCATTTTTAAGTTACTGTGAACTTCAACATGTGCGCACATCAGCGCAGCTGATACCCAAAATAAAAGAACGGAGTGAATTTTTTTCCAATTTTTTTATTTTTACTATTATATACATTTTAAAAAAAACAGTAAAAATTCAGTGTTTCCCTGAATTCAGTGATTAACACTTCAAAACATATATGCCTTGAGAATGTAATGATTGGGAGTTTTAATGAGTGAAAATGCTAAAACGTCGGAAGAAATGGCGATTTATCTTAATCACTTTCTGGAAAAAAAGCACTTGTCTTCCGGCTCCCATCTGCACTGCGGTTGTTCATTTACTGTATTCAGTTATAAAAAAAACCAGCTGATTTTGATGAATCTGAATTCCAGTCATAGATTATGAGTCAAACTGAAGCATTTGCGGCAAACGTTGCAAAAAATCGCAGGCTCATGCCGACCCTTCGATGCGTTTCGCCATTTAGTTTTCAAACTGTGCTTCTTACTTGATTTCCAATTTGTTGCAGCACAGTATGCTGTGATAACTGTTCGGTCGTTTCCCACTGTACAAATCTGGTTCATTGATGTAACGTGTCTCATGTGAGAACGAATTTCATTTGCAGTGATCTGACCGCTGCATGTGTGTCGGTGTCATGGCGAGGATTATCGGTTCGGTCACTAGCTTAGGTCAGTGAGGTGAGCGCCAAGATGTGCTACCACGTGCTGCTTTAAATGAAGTCGCTGTATCCTGTGACCGGGCTCGTTGCGCAGAACAAGTGCAGCAAGCCTCTGGTGTCTTGTTGTTGCATAGCTGTATGATCAACTAATGAGTGTAAGTAAATAAATGTGCATAAATCGGGCGGGCGTTTGTGCATATGGCTATAGCAATAAATATTATATGCAATTTCCTGAGCACATCTGTTGTTCACTTATTATAACAGCTCCCTTGAGTCATCTCTTGCCGACCTCAAATGACCTTGTTATTGAGTAACTTTGCTGTGTCATAAAGCAGCACTCGACTTATTGTTGCGCTGATTTTAAAAAATTTAGCTCTTCCAGAAGCACAATAGGCCATTTTGGCACTTACAAGCTCTTGAGCGTTTTTTTAGCGGCAGATGACCAGTGAACAGGATGACTAAGAAGTGATCATCGCTTCTAACCACGCCCGGCTGAGCTTCATCCTGAAGCAAGTGGCACGCCCTCCCGCATCCTCTTCTGAACGTTCATTACTACGCAATCCCAATTCATCACCAGCTACGTAGACATTATTTTGCATTCGCAGGCCTCCCGAATGCCATTAAGCTGGTTTTGAGTTTTATGCTTTTTGCATATCTTAAAACCGAGCTCTGGTGAGATCTCAAGCCTGCGTGTGCGGGAATGTCCGAATGCACTCAATAGCTGCTGTAAGAATTAGGAGGTTTAACATTGGTGGATCCAGATGGTGGAGGGGCGATGTGTGTTGTGCCCCCCCTTCCGCCTAGCAGCACTGAGAGTAGTTGTTTTACGGTAGAAAACTTTCTTCGATACCCCCTGTTGCTCCCTCCTTTCCCCCCCCCCCCCCCCCCCCCCCCCCCCCCCC